AAATAAAATAAAATAAAATAAAATAAAATAAAATAAAATAAAATAAATAAATAAAATAAAGTGATTTTTATTGTTGTGGACTCTGCACATAATATTCTATAAATAAATAAATAAACAAACAAACAAACAAACAAATGTAAGCAATGAACCTCATATATATGCTTCCTCTGTAAGCTGCTTGTGTAAGCTATGCTGTATTAAAACAGGAAGAGGTCATTAAAAAGAGGAGGAAAAAGACAAAATAGGTCAATTGATCTACTGTCAGCTGCAAAGGTGAACCTTTCATACTTCCATATGAATTCTCTTTGCTAAGTATATCAACCAGCTAAAAATGTAGCCCACAAGAGGGTTGACATCATCTTCAGGGGTTAACAGAAAATTTTCACCATTCATTGTCCATCTCATGACTCTGGATTTTCTCAAGATGAACTATGGTTTGTGCATTGATTTGTACAACATGCTGAGGCTTAAATCCATGGTTTTCTCAGCTCTCGGCATTTCTGATATTAAACATCAGCTATTCTCCTGCTGTTTAGGAAAGCATCATTTCAAATGCAATAAGCCACTGAGTTTTGGAGAAGGCTTGTAATACCTGCATAATGGACCATTATGGTACTCTAAATATAAGCCAGAGAAAGGATAAAGAAGGGTAAAAATAAGTTCATACCCTGCACATTGTTTGATATTTTACAACACAACAAACCAAATTCAGACAAAGTATATTATGCCAAAGCAACTTTTCTTAGCGTGTACTATGATATTTTAATAGCATAACGGGAAGTTGCCACTGGATTCAGCAATACCAAATCAATGCAATAAGATAATAAGAGTGTACCTTTAAAACCGCCAGTTCATGAATGCCATCAAGCAGAGTTGTTCCATCTTCCTTCATTAATTTTACATAGGCCATCGCAAAGTTCTTTTCTCCCTTGTCTTTAGCTGAACAACCCAGAATTAGGTATTAATAGTTTTTACCAACTTATTTAATTTTGCATATTGAAACCAAAGGAACAAAAGAGGTTACTTACACTCCAAAGATGACCGATGTCTAAACATAAAACGCAAATGAATTCTTTGCATATCCTCAATGGGTAAGGCTACCTATTTAAAGAAATAGCATTTGAAACAAACGGCAACTTAAGTTAAATAATAAAATCAATGTAAAAAGGATGGAGGAAAAAGTTTTGGAACAGGACTGTCAACATTTATCCATAGAAAGAGAACCTGTTATTTTTATCAATGAAAACTCTTGTGTACAATGATTTTTCAAAGTTTATATTTTATCACATATCTTAGATTTTTTTTCTTTAGTAAGTATAAATCACTACTTATCTGAATATGGCTCAGAAGGATTTTTACATTTCATAATGAACTCATATCTAAAGGTAATCCTAAATTTATTATCACCATTGGGATTGGATTTCCATTGTTAAGGAAGTCAGTCATTAAGTGAGTTGGCCTAATTTAACAACTGATTTGTTGATTTGTTAAGTGAATCACAAGGTTGTTAAGTGAATCCAGCATCCCCCACTGACTTTGCTTGTCAGCAGCTGGTTGGGAAAGTCACAAATGGTGATCACATGATCCTGGAACACTGCAACCATCATAAAAACATGCTAGTTGTCAGGCACCTGAACATTGATCATGTGACTACTGGCACACTGAGACAGTCGTAAGTGTGAGGATCAGTCATAAGTCACTTTTTTCAATGCCATTGTAACTTTGAATGAGTTACTAAGTGAATGATCGTAAATTGAGGACTACCTGTATTGCATTTATAATTATATATCTCTATCTCTGATTTGCCACTGAAAAGCCGCCCTGAGTCCCGTTGGGAGAAGGGCGGGATATAAATCAAAACAAATAAATAAATAAATAAATAAATAAATAAATAAAAATGACCGTATAACTAATGTATTTTGCTGTGTTGCTAAGTTCCAACATCACGTATTATCTTCCAATACAAATATTACATTTGCTGTTCTTTTTATCAGAGAACTATTAGGGCTGGGCTGAAAACTACATCAGACTTTGGAATTAGATGATCCAAAAGCTATTTAAGGAGAACACGAATGTTTCATTATAAACTTTAGTTAAATTTCTATTATATGGGATCCTTTACAAAATGATTCTTATTCTGGATCCAGAAGTCTTTGAAGTCACAGGAAATTAATTTATTTTACTATTCTTGAAGATATTTTAATATGTTCTCTATAGTGTTCTGTTGTTAACAGAAACAGGTTTCCAATACGCTTTCTGAGTAGTTTACAGTCATCTGGAGTTATTTGCATCACATGTTCTCTAGAATTTGCTTGTTACTCATTATATAGAAACTACAAAATTGTCCACTACTTTGTTCACTTAAAATTGGGATATATATCAGTTCTGCATTTTATTCATTTCTTCAACTTTTTATATTATATTTATATTTTTATATTATATTTATACTGCCCTAGTGAAATAAAACATATATACAAACTATATCATAATAATCATTGTTTTCATTTTCATGTAGTCGGTCTTGTAGGATTGAAGGCAGTTATTTGAATAGTTCTAAAAATCATTTTAATGCATACCCAAACATTCTGAAGCTTGGGTTTCTTAGCTCGGTTTCTCAGAAATCCTCATTTAGCAAAATCAGCAATATTCATAGATTGTCTTAAGATTTTAAATTGAGAGATCTCTGCTCCTTGTTGTACCTTTAATGTCTCCATCCAACGGGGTTGTTTGACTTGATAGTAGACAACTGACTTGTATTCATTCACAGGCTTGTCTCCAGCCCCTAAGCAAATCACATTCTGTCCAAAACAGAAAAATGAGGAGAAGATACTACTTCCTACTTCTTATGATTGTATCATTTTCATCACCAATATATTTTTCCATTCATATCTATTATAATCCTTGAGATTAGTTTCTTATTCCAGAAAGGGAATAATCTAAACATGTACTATATAGTCCATAGCATTATTTTTCAATCATAGGAACTTCTGGTTGGTTGGACTAAAAAGCTCAGAATTCTACCGCCAGCATGGCCGTTGATGAAAATTCTAGTCCACACAACCTGGAAGTCGTCAACATTGGGGAATCTTGTCTAGAGAGCAGATAACTGAAAAGGATGAGATTAAGTAAAATTATTCAGCTACTCAGAACCCATTGCAGATGAACTCTTATAGGACCATCCACTTGCCTTTGATCTCCTGGTTTACTTTTTATTTGTTAGTGGGTAGTAGTAACTCTGTTGTGAGTCTCCTAGTGTTTCATATGCTATGTCAAGGTACATGGGGAACGTTTTAAAAGGTGCTAATTAAAATTACTCCTCCCATTCCAGGTCATAGAATTGGATGCTGTAAGTCCCATAAAAGCTGGCATTCCCTGATCTTTGATAGAGGTTTAACTAACTAATTTTTAAAAACTGAAGCAATTCCTATGCAATATACATAGTTGAATTTGTTTGTTTTAGCAAGTTTAGATGCCAGTACAGGTAGTCCTCGACTTACAACCACAATTGAGCCCAAAATTTCTGTTGCTAAGTGAGACAACCATTAAGTGAGTTTTGCCCCATTTAACAACCTTTCTTGCCACAGTTGTTAAGTGAATCGCTGCAGTTGTTATGTTAGTAACATAGTTCTAAAGTGAATCTGGCTTCCCCATTGACTTTGCTTGTCAGAAGTTTCCATAAGATGGCCACGACCCTGGGACACTGCAACCATCATAAATATGAACCAGTTGCCAGGCACCCGAATTTTAATCATGTCACCACAGGAATGCCGCAAGTGTGAAAAACGGTCATAAGTCACTTTTTTCAGTGCCATTTTAACTCTGAATGCTCACTAAATGAACTATTGTAAGTCGAGGACTATCTGCATTATACAACTATGTGTGTCTGCGTGAGAGAAAGTATTTGCTAAAAAAGAAAATACTAAGACACAATTGCCAGCTATTCCAATGAGGAGGGGGGGAAATAGAAGGTAGTAAAATAAAACTGGGTATTCCCCTACTGCTATCCCACCAAAGAACTCACATAGGAGGTAGAAAGAGAGACAACTCCCCAAATACACAAAGACAGGGATGAAATCTAACGATGGTGTGAGAAGAGCTAAAGCTCAAAATGAGTTGGGATTGACAAATAATATCAAAACAGATCCCCGTTCCTTTTGAAAAAGTGTGCCAGATGTCCAATGGAGATGGCAAAATGCTAGCAGGCAAGAAGCACTAGATAGAGTAGAATAACTCAGCTCCTATTTTTGTCTCAGTCCTCTCTGAGAAAAGTGCACACGTTCCACGAGAAATATGTAATGGAGCGGCCTATGATACGCTGATTAGCAAGCTAATTAGGTGTGAGCTGGATGGCCTGACAATTAAGTGGCGACATTGTTGGGCTTGAAAATCATACTCGGAGAACACTCCCTAAGAGTTTTCTCACCATCCTGGAGGAAAATACAGAGTGGAGTGCTGCATGGTTCAGTGCTGCTGACTCTGTGTTTCAGCATTTTAATTAATTAATTAAATAATGGCAAATGAGATTGACAGTGGGTGAGATAGGTAACCCCCAGAAGGCAGAAATAAAATTATAAACTGTCACAATGAGTTAGAGAAACGGACTGAAAATCACAAAATGGAATCTAACCAGGCAATTGCAGAATTCTTCAGTTAAAAGACAGGCATCACGCAAATGGCTACAGGTAGTCCTTGACTTACAAGGGTTTATTTAGTGACCATTCAAAGTTACAGTGGCACTGAAAACGTGACTTATGACCATTTCTCACACTTACGACCACTCAGCATTTCCCTGTGGTCACATGATCAAAATTCATATGTTTGGCAATTGATTCATGTTTATAATGGGTTGCAGTGTCCTGAGATCATGCGATCAGCTTTTGCAGCCTTCTGCAACATCAACGGGGAAGACATTTTCACTGAACAACCGTGTTACTAGCTTAACAATTGCAATGATTCACTTAACAACGGTTGCAAGAAAGCTCCTAACATGGGGCAAAACTCACTTAACAAATGTTTCACTTAGCAACATAAATGTTGGATTCAGATGTGGGTGTAACTCAAAGACTACCTGTATAAAATGGGGAATACCTGGCTAAGCAATAAAGTTGTTGGGGGGAAAAATTGAGGAATGAGTTTTGAGTATAAAATGAATATGAGTCTGCAGCATAAGGCAGCTGCAGTTTTAGGCTGCATGAACAGGAGTCCAATTTCTAAACCACAGGGAATAATCCCACTTGTGATCCACCTACGGATCTCTCCACCTCCTTGAATGTTGGATCTTGATCTAGATATGACATTTTAGGAAGGGTGGAGAGCAACGAGAACATGTTCAAAAAAGGACGATGAAAATGATTAGGCGTTAGAAATTAAATCCTATGAAAAGAAATCGAAGGACCTGGAAATGTTTAACTTACTGAACAAAAGATGCCAGAGGGAGATTATAGCACTGTTCAAATACATGAAAGGATGATACATGGACAATAGCCAGGAATTGTTCCTTCTTGCCAGAGAACAGGACGCAGAATAATAGATTCAAATTACAAGAAAGCAGATCGTCCTTTAATATTACAAGAAAGGATTGAATCGACAATGGAAAGATTTATTCAGAGATGTGGTGGGTTTCCCTTCACATGATGTTTTTGAGCAAAGATTAGACAGTTGCTGTTTTGAATTTTTATATGAAACAGGTAATGGAGGATAGCATAAATGATATTCCCAAGCTTTGTGATTCTCTGATTTCTTTCTGTGCTCAGGAATTCCAAGAAGGTAATGTGACAGGCACAACTATTTTGATTAGTGGCAGCTTCAGTGCCAACATTGCAAATAAAGAAATAAAATATAAAGTTGAAGAAAAATGTCCAGGGAAAGCAAAGAATGAATAGCCTTTCACAAAAGTTGTCAATCCTGTTGAGTCCAATTTAGAGCAAGTAGATGATTTCACAAATAGAAGAAAAAGAAGCCAAAGAACTATTTCTTCTATTCCTGTTATCTAGTAAAATGGACCTACTTCTCTTTCTGTCTTGGAAGAGTAACTAACCTATCATGATAAAGCAAAAAAATAAAAATAATCACCTATATTCCCAAAATTCTCTGAAACCTGCTACCAAGCTCATTCAATGCTAATGGAAATGGACAGAATGACATCAGCATTCATGGGCATGCAGATAAAGAAGATATTAAGAGGTAAGAAAAATTAGACACTATAACGTGTAAGGGTATTGGCAGTTACAGAATTAACCTCCTATTCTTTCTTCCTCTTCTTTTAACAGTGCTTCAAAAAGTGTTTATGTGTAGGTATACATTTGTATAAGGTATACAAATGTATAAGTGTATATAAGGTATACATTTGTATAAGTGTCTGAATAGACATTCAGACAGACAGACAGAAAGACAGAATTTCCCCAACATATTATTTTTAGATGGTATTATTTTTTGTGTTTTGGATTTGTATAATTTTATATTTTATATGTATCCCCAAGAGACATTATTGAAGATGGGCAACCACATAAGCATTCTAAATACATAAATAAACACATGCATACAGATTTGGGGAGGGAGGAATCTCCATAATTGCTTTCAATTGTAAAGAGTTTTTATATATGTTGATAACTTGTGGGGGTATCATTTAAACCCAGGTTCGTGTTCATTTGGGATAAATAAACTCAGTGGTATTTCTTTTTTATTTTTGCATCGTGTAGCTATGCTTTTCTTCAAATACCTTCCTAATTTCTTCCTTCCCATTTCAATCAATTCTATTCATTCCACAGGAAATTCCCTGGAAATTTAACAATGCAAGAAGGTAATTATTTTCAAACTTTCCCGTGGAAAGAATTGTTGGCTGATTACAAGTGTTATTTTTGCACCTCTTCTCACTTTACAATTTTATGTTAAATTAAATTTTTTATCACATCAGAAGCATCTGTAACTGAGCCAACACTGCACATCAAAAATGCATGAAGTTTGTATTAATTTGAAGGGACAATAAAGAAAGAAAGAAATACATTGCATTTGATAAATAAATTACTCTTAAAAGATCATCTTTTGAAACTGTGTGTGTCCAGCATGCAGTATGCAGGCCGCATGCAGCTCTGGACACCTAGTAATGTGATGTCAAGATAATAAAAGATAAAAATGTTAATAATATTAAAAAAATAAAAGAAGTTTGTTATTTATATACATTAACTATATTTGCATCTGGGCCAAGAAAATTCCTTCTCACTCAATGAGGCCCATGCAAGCCAAAAAGTTGGCCAATTATACTTTAGACAAAGAGTTAGATTTGAGATACAGTCATGAATCTTCACTAATGTTTCAAAAGGAATCTTTCAATTTATGCACATTCTGCTTCCATCTTATATGGTTTAAGTTTTTAAACAGATTTAAACAATTAGAAGACCTCCAAGGTTCCTTCCAGCTTTGTTATTCTGTTCTATTCTGTTCTGTTCTGTTCTGTTAACAAAAATAAGTAGCAAAAGAATGTAAAAGTAGAATATCAAGAAAAATGTGCATCATCAGTATAGTATGTTTGATCAGTAAAAGTGAGTCTTATTGGGGACTCAACATGTTTGTTTTATTTTGTTTAATGTCTTATTTTACAATTCCATTGGGTTTTTATTCTTCTTCACTGCCCACAGTTTGTTCTAATAGATTGGCAGCCATGTAAATCTCTTTAATAAACATACAGTAAATAAATAGTCATATTACAATGTTGCCTATGCATTAATAATTTTAATATGCTCTTTGGAAGTAAAGCTGTTGCTTTACTTTAGTAGTTGTTACTTAAACAAAAGCAAGAATTTTACAACATATTTATATATTTTAATCTTCAGACATCAAAAAAAAAGGTAACCCAAGGAATACTAAGTAAAAGGACAAAAGATTATTATGCTCTATCCGTGAACATTTTTCATCACTTTTTATCTCCTGGAAATTGTTCTCTGACACAGTCACTTTAGTCTGCATGTTACCAGTGGGAAAAGAGGAAAGCATGAGCTTCCTTTCATTAACATATAGGGAGGATTAGAAAACTATTACTGATGTGGGTCTTTCCACAAATAATAACCCAAGGTAGAAGCTTTTGACTATTAGGCTTATGCAAAACTTCAAAGAGGTGCTTCACTTTGACAAAGCTTTCAACAATACACATTCCCAAACTGCTTTGTAATGGTTTCCTCTAAATTCAACATTCATGTGATTACTAGAGTGATGTGCCAGCATGATCTCCTCCAATTTAGGTCCTGGTAATATTCTCTTTATTAACGTTTCCCTCCCTCCACTTTGTAGACATAGACATCTGTGGGACCTTCTTGACAACTACATTACAAATGCATTATATTTAGACATAGATGCTGCAGTTATAATTGCCTCAATTGGAAGTAATGATACCATTTTATGGCCTCGTTTTAATTGGTCTCTTTCCCCCAATGAGAGAACATATTATTCCCATGTTAAACAATCTAAAACATAGTAATAAGGAAGGGTTTTGATTGGCCCAGGCAGTTTGGAGATAATTTGGACCTTGTCATTCTTAGATTTTATTTTTAATACTTTCCCTTATCCTAGTGACAAAGCAATAGTGAGTTTTCCAATATTCCAGTGTTCTGGAATTTTCAACAAGCTCTTTGATAAGTGTTGATTAACAAAGAAAAATATATTTGCGGCTTTTTAATTGCCAGGTTGGATTCCCATTTCTTGCACCTGTGCATGGAAGATGAATAAGCTCACACTCTCATAAAAATGTGCAGTTTGAAGTGTGGAACAAATGCTATGAAATGGACCAAAAGACAAACACTAATCATTTTAAAGGAGTACTTGCTGAATCTAACTAGCACTTTGCCTTAGTCTTCCATTATCAAACAAACATCTCAAGTCTAAAAGTTCCTCTTTTTTCCTCTCAGTTCACACATGGTATACCTTGATGATGAATACTAATATACTTCTTATGTGCCATACAGCATGCTAAACTGTAAACTAGGCTGTAGGAATTATAATGGCTGAGTTAGACTAAAAATAAATCAGCCATGCTTTGGATTCTCACAAAGATTGGATTTTGTGAATCCAGTCTTTGTTTCATGAGTTGCATAAGATAAGTTGCAAAAACGAGCATATGGATACACATTTCTGCAAACAGAACCTCTGGACCAAAGCCAGTAGATTCATATTCAGAAACTCTATGAGGAAAATGACACTAGCCTTTAGCAATGTTTTTTTTAAAAATACATTAAGAGCAGAACAGCACTTACTGGTATCACTTTTCCATCCTCATCACAGACACACATGTTGACTTCTACATTTCTCTGAGTAGTTTTATTAAATTTATCTAAATCTCCATGCAGCAAAGTAATATAGATGTCATTCCTTACATCGCCTGTGAAAGAAACACAAAAAGTTAGAAATAAGTAGCTATGGTGACAAAGCACATTAAAAGCTATTTCTTCCATATACAGAACGTTCAAGAGGAAAATGAAGTTAATCTTAATGCTGACTTCATTGTCTCTTCAAGGAAAGGACGATTGCACTGTAGCTACATCATCAATGCATAATCCTCATTCTGCAGCGACACCTTCTGGTGAACTTTGGTCAAATCAGTTGAATGAGAAAATGGCAAGGATAACACTGAACTGTGCCATGAAGTCTACTATGCAGTGAATGAGCAAAAATAGAGGGTAGGGTGGGGAGACAAAAACTGGAAAGGGCAAATTTCACTTCTTGCCAACAAACCTTTTTTATGTTCATCTAAAAACACATGCATATGGAAAAGTAGACAAACTCCACTTTCTTCTGTTAAGAAGAGATTTTTTTTTACTTGCTTGGTCTTGAAGCTACGCATCTTTTTCACCAGACTTTGAATGGTCAGTGATGTTAAGTTTTTTGGGAAAATTCTTGTTTTGTAAGCTATTATATGTCAAATAACAGGGTTAAAACATAAATAGGCAAATAGATTAAAAGTACACACACACACACACACATACACACACACACAACTAAAAATATGCCTTTATACTAATGGGGGTGGAGGGGAAGGGGAAGAGAAGGAGGGGGAAAGAGGAGTGGGAGGGGAAGGAGGAGGAGGAGGAAGGCTTTCTGGGTGCCATTAAATTATCTGGGTGCCATTAATTCCCCACTGAAGATGAAAAAAATTAATTGAAAAGTAATGACTCATAGATCTATTTTTTTTTTACATAAACACTAGGCATTACCAAAAAAATAAAAATACAATAGTTAACGGCCAGAAGGATTTAAGTAAAGGATTTAAGTGTATTTAAAGAAAAGCTGTATTGTAATTTGGTCACTTTATGCATAATATTATCATATTTAGTCTCAACACGATCTGTTCTTGGACCTTAGGAAATAAAATTTGCTTATTACAGTAATTGATGCAGATACTCTGGGATCAATTTAATTTTGATTTAATGAAGAGTTATCAGAAAATTATAAACCTAAGTAATGATGCTTTTATCTTTTCCCCTGATGTCTGGGAGGGAAGGAGGGAGGGAGGGAGGCCTTTCAGTTTGAAAGAAAAAGGATCGGTATCGTACCTGGCATGATTATTTCAGGGAAGCCAAGCTTCCGAGCAACAACTGTTGTCCTGTCAACAAGATGAGGGTAGTCCTTTCTAATATGAGTAATGTCTCCAACAAGCTTTTTCATGGTTACCCATAATCCTGTACGACATACAAAGATAAAGAAGACTTATCGTGAAATGGGAACTAAGGATTCAAAAAAATATATAGATAAGGAAGTCCAGTTGAGAACTTTCACTCTAAAACACATTCACATAAGCAAGTAGCTCATGCACCAACTGAAGTTTTCAATGTATGAACAAGGGGCTCCATTTAAAACTCGTATAACTAAACATATTGGAAAGTGCATGTACGTCCCTACGTAATATTACTGATTCCTAGTACTTCTTCCAACTTGGCTCTGGACGTTGTGGAAACTGATCATAAAGGCCTCCAATCATGCCATCCCTTTAAGGATATAGATATGAGAACGGGGAGTAAGAACAGGCATATCCTTCACCTTGTCCGCCACTGTCACTTTTGAATGTGGTAACCTTGCTTAAGAGGTTGTGCAAAAACTCATTCTCTGGCACGCTGAAAGAAAAAGAAAAATATTTCTGCAAACCAAAGGCATAGAATGAATCAAAGTCAGTTGAGACAACTTTTTCATCAGTACTTGAATGTGAAGGAGTACATTTAGAGAGTTATTGAATATGTGATAAGGGAAGAATTGTTAAACGTAAAACAACAAATGCTTCTAAGTTTAATAAAGTGGCAAATCCAGCAATTAACAAATGGCAAAGGGAATCAACACAATGCTGAGACTCAGAACAAGACCTTCTAGGGCAGTGATGGCGAACCTTTTAGAGACTGAGTGCTCAAACTGCAACCCAAAACCCACTTATGCATTGTCGAGTGCCGGGTGGGAGTGGCCCATTGGGTGGGTGTGGCCCATTGGGTGGCTGCGGTGGTAACGGCAGACTGGGTGGAACTAAAAAGTTCAATCAATCAATTCCAACTTTGCAAGATCTTTTTTTTTCCCACGAGAAGTTGAAATTGACTGATTGAACCTTTTTTTTTTTTGCACATGGCGGTGGAGGCCTAAAGCGAAAAGGTTTTATAAAACCCAGTTGAAGGCCTAGGACTGGGGCGATGGTGCGCGTGCCCACAGAGAGGGCTCTAAGTGCTGCCTCTGGCACCCGTGCCATAGGTTCGCCACCACTGTTCTAGGGCTTATCTACAAATACCTNACCTGCACAATAATTATTCTACACTGTGAAAAGGATGCAACAATAAGAACATATTTGGATTTAAATGACCTCTACATGTGCTTTCAGTAAGCAGAAGGTCCTATATACGAAAAGAACCTTTAGATACAGTCCATTTTGATTTATGTTTATAATGACTTCTAAAAATACTTTTAATCTTTTTTCATAATGACTGCATCCTATCAGAATAATTTTTTTACATGTTAAAAATATTAAACAGCAAAATTGTCTTACGGATGAAAGGGAATGAAATATTGTTTCTCTTCATCACTTTCTGCTTTTCCTTTTATAATATCTGAGATGTCCATTACTAAAGAAAGAAAGAAAAAAGCTATCAAAATTTGAAAAAAAGGTAACAGATGTAACTTTTTCCCCAGTTAGAACCATATACCTCATGAGCCATATATAAGTGCATTAGAATAAAACTTTTTTTGCTTTTTTTAAAAGCAAATTTTAAATCTAATATTTATCAGAATAAGACAGTGAGTAAAATAAAGGCACACAAATACATCACAACGAACTTTGCTGTGTGGATAGCATGTATGTGAGGAAGCATTGCTGATATTAGAAAACTAGTATCTGCCTGAGAAAACAGTACATGGAAAAACTAGTGTTTTGCCCCCAACTTCCTGCATCAGCCATTACTTATTTACACATCAGTGAAAAACTGCCGATAACTATAAAAGCCCTAAGTAAATAGCAATTAATTTAGAGCTAGAGCTGACACAGCTGATTGGATATGCTTGCTTAATAATGCATTCACATTCAAATTTTGCTTGCCTGTGCTTTGGTATTATTTTTTATTCCCTGTATAAAATATTAATGAGATAATGCAAAGGTGAGCTGATTATTAGGAGTTCTTATCTTGTCCTAACATTCTTCCTTAACCTGGTGTTTTCTAGATGAGCTGGATTACAAATTTCTTCAACTTTCTTAACCAGAAAGATCATTAGAACTTGCTGGCTATGATGATTGAAATTTTTAATTCAGCACATTTGGAAATCACTGGGAAAGAAAACATTATTGCATCATTTCTGCATCACACGAAATACTGTGTCTTGTTCTCTCATGCTGCTAAAATAAAATGAAATCCACCATTCTTTGATCAGCCACCTTTTTCATGGATTTTTTTTTCAAGCACATCTTAAATAACATCTCACTTAGTAATGTTGGAACAAATTTAGGAAGGGATCTTTGCTTTCATAGTCACTTTCATGTCTTGACTTCTCTTGTGATCACACAATATAAAGAATACTTCTAAGCTACATGTTCAACATTTTCTTCAGAATTATTTCAGTAATGTCTAACTGATATCGTTATATGAATGAAATACCAATACAGCTTCATAAATCTCTGATGGATATATCAATACACAAAAGATGTCAGTTCTGAAGGTGAGAAAACAGTAGGCCAAGTCCAATTACCCAAACAGAATCCTATGTATCCAGTGCCAAAGCTTATTCTTATATGCTTCTTGGCAGTGAAAATGTTATAAATGACATGATCTTGGTAAATCTGTATATCAGGTATCATCAGCTCACATTGACTGGGACCTCAATATTCAAGGTCAATGGTAATGTGAGAGGTGATGGCACTTTGATAAGCAAAGAGTGGCTATATACACATAGGTGCAGGTGAAATTGTATTAGACCGTGAAGGCTTTTTGGATCCTGTCCATTCTTTGCCTTACCTGCCACTCCAAAAGGCCGTCTTATGCCGTGAGTATATTTTTTGGTGTTAGTATCTTTGAGATCCATTTTTCCAAAACGTACAATTTGACAGATCAAATAAATCCGGTCTCTTCCAAGATCTTTGTTTCCGAGATCCTGAGATAAATAACAGCAAAATCCAATTGACAGACTGACAGTAAAAAGCTATGACATCTAAACATCAACATTTTCTGAGCTAGTACTGGTGTAATAATATAACAATAACAACAGAAAAATGTTATCTCAGCACCCACTGATTTAAACAACATGAAGGAAATAGAAACTGCAGAAAATAAAAAATAAGAATATAATCTTATATTATAGGAATAAAAAATAAGAATATAATCAAGGAAAATAAAAAATGAAGAAAAGAATTCCCCCTTCAGCACAGAATGAACAGTTTTATGACCTTCACTTAACATGTAACAAATGATCTCTTCTTTTCATATCCCATCTCTTATCTACAGCCAAATCCTTAAAGCCTCATCTTTCCGTTCTGATTAGGAAAAAAAATCTATTAAGCGTTACTGCAGATAACAACATATCTATCTTAACTTTGATCAAACAGACCAACTTTATATTCCCTCCTTTTAAGAATCATGAACTTTATTCCCTTCAAATAATATCCTTGAACTTGATTTCTTTTAATTTTTCTTTGTCCCTTCTCACAAAATTCTTCGGAGCTATAACAAGACTTTTTAGGACTATATAGGAAAATTATCCAGGTCACTCTTTTGCATTATTTGTGTATTCATTTTAATTATTAAGACATCAGGCAGCTTTATTTGTTTGTCCAGTGAAGTATCTTTTTCCATATTGTTCTTGTAGTCTGTCATTTTTAAATCCACTCAATCTCAATCGTGTCCAATAACACTTGTTGCTTTTCCATAACTTCTTTTAAACTGTCTATCTATAGAGACATACACTTTTAAATGATCTCCTGTCCTGTCCAGTGTTAAAATATTTTGCTCCGTTCCATATTAATAAATCAAATTTAAATGCTCTTCTCTTTGTAATCTTTGCTTTGATAGTCACTGCTGGTTCTATGTAGTGTCCAACCTTCAAAATCTCATTCCATCATAATTTGTTTAAAAAATAATAATTCAAAACAAAATTATTTCTCCCTGTGAAAAATTCTTACAATTAATTTGAAAATCTTATTTCCAATCCATCTGGACTCTTAGTTCATTTGTAACTTTCCCAAGCCAAAGTTCTAATCTCCCTTTTGCTATTTATTCCAAAGAAATAATACTTTTAGCTTTTAAACTTGCACTTATTTTTTTTCACGTTAGAAACAGCTGTCTGGAGCACTTGTGGATCATCTTAAGTAGAGGAGTCAATCAACAAATTCCTGATCCACTCAGCTATGCTTTTAGTGAAGTTGTCTTCAGTTTGGCATTTCTTCCTCAGAAGTTCTCAGGTAATTAGGATATAATTTGTATGTTTCAGTGACTTACTGACTTAGTCATCTGTTGCATTTAGCATAACATCTGTGTACAATATGATAATTTTTCTTGTACCATAATATTAACGTTTTTCAAATATAGCTAGATAAAAGCCATAACTATATGGATCAGTATTTCAAGATGACAACCACCATCTACTGTATCCCCAGCGTTTCAGAATTATATCAGTCTAGCCAAACACTAGATTTAGTCTTACAGCCAAGGCATCAGTTGCATGAAATTTGTTTCTCCTCCATATCATTTATTTGAAAAAGTTAGTTTTATGATTCATTCAGTAATTTTTCAAAGAGAGGAACCACCACTATTTCACAACACTACTCAATAAACTAAAAATAAAATCCCTTTGTAAAAAATAAGTTATATACCCCTACTCACATATCATGCAATCCTATTTCTTCTTTAACTATGGTTAGTTAAATAAGCCACAATAGCTGTGTTTACACAAATCAAAAACCCATAACGGTTTTGTATTATATGCAAAGTTAGCCATAGAGAGAGAATGAATGAAATGAGGTCACCTAGCAGAATTCTGCTAATTCTGTTTCCTGTGGGCAGAGGAACATGAGCAGGAGAGAGAACAATCACAAAATTTAATAGATGAGAAATATTGATTCTGCAAGCTTTCTGGAATATTGATTCTGCAAGCTTTCTAGAAAATGAACAGGTAGTATGGGTTGTTGGAGTGAAAGGACTGTGTTTTTTTTAAAAAAAAAAACTACTCACGGTGAAAACCACTTTCAGATTGTTGAAATTGTCAATTTCTTTGACAAAACCTTTGCTCCCCCATCTCACCAAGTAATTTTCACTGTGGAAAAATAAACATTATATAAACTGAGATTATCACAATGAAAATAGCACTTTATAAGATATTGACAAGCAATTTTAAATTATATTATGTGCATCATTTAAAATTCTGCCAATTGTTTCAAACTTCAGTTCCTGCAGCTTCAGACATTATGCTAAACCATGACTAAACCTAGAACAATGGTTAATAATTATGTAAAGATACAAGCAGCTCCATTAACCTATTAAAATAGTTCAGGCTTTGATGCAAACCTGGACTACCTATAAGTCATTCTGATGTCTTACCAAATTATTCATTAATACAAATATGTCTGTTCATAAACTGTATATATTTAATTTCAACACATCCTAAATTCACCCAAACCACAAGAGATTATCATAATCCACACATCTATAATCTCACGCACACATTTAAGTTTCTTAGGAAAATTACCACTGTGCATCAGTGGGGAAAAAACTGGCATACCTTATCACTGTATGCTTATGGGGATCATAGAGGGACATGAAAAGTTCAGCATCTTCTCCTATTTTGCAGACAAAATTTCTTACAAAGACATAAAGGCTGTGAGTAGGGGATGAAGTATTTCGGCAGAAAGTTCCGTACACAGGCTCATCTTTTGACTGATAACCAACAATAGTTAAAAGAAAGAAGTTATTAGAAAAACAGCAAAAGAACTTGATAAACAGATTTCCTTTTTTTTTAAAAAAAAATCATGTTAATGCTACATCACATCTTTGGGTTCAAGATCATTTAAACCACAACATTTATCACACTTTTCCCAACTTTTCCTGTCCAGCTGTGATGAAATATAATTCCCATAATGTTTGGTCATTTTAAATACCTGAGTTGCAAGCTTAAGTTAACTGTTGTTGTAAATATCTACAAAGTTCTCTCTACTTTTGAAATCAAACATCTTTGTATATGTGTAAGGTAGGCTTTCCCAAACTGTGAGGTGTAACTCTCTTTGGGGAGGTACTGGGGAAATGTGAGAAATCTTATAGCTGTCAAATTATTGCAATAAATTCACATTTCCCAAAATATTAGCTTCAATTGAATAACCTAGTGGTGATGGAGGCACTAACTTTGCTTTTTTATTTTTTTATAAAATTATCAAATATATATTTTTCATTGTATTGTTTTCATTGTTCATTTGTATTCATTTTGGGTTTTTTTATTTTTAGGGGAGGCATGTACATAAAGAGGAGATGTGATAGCAAAAAGGAAACTGTTATATAAACCGTTCTTCTCCTTCCCTACTTTTTACTATAGATCTTGGTCACACAATAGTTATAACATGCTGCTATTGTAATTTCTTATGTGCTACTGATTTTTAAATGATATGTAGCATTGCTTGCTGGATATAAGCTTAAGCAAAGTCAGCATTAATTTTAAGGGAAAGCTGACGCTTCACAAAGGAAAAATACTTTTTTCCACTTGGTCAGAAATTAGATCAAGGAGATCTCTCTCACACACAAAAGCTCTGTTCAGGAAATAGTGCACTTAAACATACCATGTCCCAGCAGATTTGGTTACCTGAAGATAATCTGGCATTGCTCACCATGCACAATTGAGCAATATCATGATAACCTTAGGAACCTGGTGCTTCAATAGGAATTCAGAATAACAGAGTTGTACCTACAAACATCAAGAACAACTACTTGGCTAGCACAGAATGTAGTATACTAGCTTTTAGAAAATCTGAATCAGTGCATTACTTAATTTTCCTCATACAAACATGGTTTGACTTAGACATGGATAATAAGGAAGGTCTTGTCCTCCCTTCTACATTTTATCTCCCCTCCCCCCCCCCTTTTTTTTTTTTTACAAAGGTTGACCATTGCACATTGTTTTAAAAGACCAGGTAAAGTATATCTGACTTTTTAAAAAAACTTGCTATAGGCCTTTTGGTCTGCACCAATATGTGTGTCAATTGGTCTAAGTTATGTTATTGGTTTATTGATGGATTGAAATCAGCATTTTAAAACAGCTGGGAATTCAGGATAAATACTTGATGTGAAGACATATTTTTAATATGCATAATGAATCAGGCAGGAGAAATGATCGCTAAACTGCTCCTGATGCTTTTACAGATTAATCCTCTGTGGGAATAAATAAGGAAACCTCTGTTTGAGAGTAAAAAGATGGAATGCAAACCCCGTACCATTTCTTCTTTAATTCTTTCTGTGATTTTTTTTGTAGCTTCTGTATGTGCATGGAAGAGACTGATGACACTGGTTTTGTCAGGATCCAAAATATTGCCATCTTCATCTCTAACAATGAGGTCCAGCTCAAGAATCCTGCAACATTAAAGACCATCGTTCAGTTTCAAATACACATCACGCTACAAATATCTTAGGTTTCATTTCAAGTTGTTTGAAATTTGGTTGATGTTTGTTTATCTCTGAGATGTGATTTAAAACTTAAGACATTCACGAAAAATCAAGCAGCATGTCTGATGCATAGCAAAAAGTTTGTGTTAACAGATAATATAATACTCATGAGGGTATTATCTCCTTTGAAAACACAATTTGCATAATGATGAATGGTATCCTGAATGGAACCATGAATTTAATTAACATCCATGATTTTGCAATGAAAAAAACAATCTTTGAGAAGTCTGAGTAATTGTAGTTTGCAAAGATGAAATGAAGAGCTTTCAGTCTTCTACATATCTTCAATCTTCAACTTTCAAAGTTCAACAGAACTTTGGCTTCCTAGACCATGGTCTGCATTACCTAGATGAATGGCTACTGGCAAGGGATGGATTGCACCTCACAAGAACTGGAAACAATATATTTGAAAACGACTGGCTCATCTTATCAAAAGGGCTTTAAACTAAAATTGAGGGGGGGGGGCAAACTTCACAACCTAAAGAACCTAATTCCAAGTAAAAACCACTAGATAACCAATAATATAAGGAAGGGAATAAAGAGAAAAAAAGAAATTAAAAAAGAAAAACATAATGAAATAGAGAGTGATGTAAAGGATGTAAATCCTAGTTACAAAGTAGGAGATATAAGAAATATAGCCAAGACCCATAAAGGACTCAAATGCCTAGACACTAATGCTCAAAATTTAGGAAACAAACAGGGTGAACTTGAAGTATTAGTACATGAAGGCAGATATGATATAGTTGCCATTACTGGAACTTGGTGGGATGAAACTCATGACTGGAATGTACTGATGGAAAGAAACAAACTATTCAAAAAAACCAGACCTAACAAAAGAGGAGGTGGAGTTACATTATATATAAAAGATTACTACATCTCTACAGAAATACACAAAACCAAGGATGAAAACCTCCTAGAATCCATGAGTCAATATAAAAGGGGGGAAAATGACATTGCTATAGGCATATACTACAGGCCACCCAACCAAGCAGAAGAAATAGATGAACTCTTTGCTAACCAATTAACAAATGTATGTAGGAAACATACCACAGTAGTAATGGGAGACTTTAACTACCCAGATATCAACTTGGAGACAAACTCTGCAGCTAGTGGGAAATCGAACAGATTCCTAACTAACTTAGTTGACAACTTTGTAATCCAAAAGGGAGAGGAGGGAACTAGAGGAAAAACTATACTTTAGTTAGTCCACTAAAGAGAAAAGATGGTAAGGAAATAATAGGCAGTAGAGAGAAGGGAGCAGAGCTGCTTAACTCATTCTTTGCATCAGTCTTCACACAAAAAGAAACTATAGCCCAACCTACCAAAAACATCTGTAAAAAAATAGACTAGAAATAAATATTAAAACAAGCCAGAAAATGGTGAGAGAATACCTGTCTGACCTTGATGAATGTAAATCACCAGGATTTACATTCTAGATGGATTACATCCTAGCAGGGCTTTTTTTCTCATAGAATGCCCAGAACAGAGTTCTGGCACCTTTTTTGGATGGAACCTTGTAGGGTAGGCAAGGCATGTTGTATGACATGTGTGAGTTCCGGCACCTTTTTTTTTTTTTTTTTAGAAAAAAAGCACTGCATCCTAGAGTTCTGAAGGAGCTGGCAGATGTTATCTCAGAACCATTGTATCATATCTTTAAAAAATCTTGGAGCACTGGGGAACTACCAGAAGATTGGAAAAGATCTGATTGGTCCCCATCTTCAAAAAAGGGGGGAAAAACCTTTCTATATTTGTATTAACTGTTCCCATCTAGTAAAGTAGAACCATACCATCATTCTCTGAGATCCCTTAAGAATCTGTATGTACTTTATATATCTCTCTACTTTTTACATGACTTACTGCTTTAAACATTTTTCTTCTTTTAGACCACCGATGCTTAAACAAAGATATGCAGAAATCTGATGTAAAAAGATTGCATTTTGCAAAAGCCACTTTAAAAAATGCCCTAAAATAGTTTTTGAAAACTCATTCCATGTTTGCCTAATAAATGAAGAACACTTATGTGTTTTCTGGGTTTTTTTTCATTTAAATAAGATGCAAATTAAAAATCTGAGGTCTCCATTCCATACAATAGTCTATCTTATTCTAGAATATCCCTACCCAAGCATCTAATTTTGTTGCCTCTATAGACAAATTTTGAATATGAAATATTTATCAGCCACATTATCTTTTTCTCCATGGTTGTTTTGGAATGCAGCATAACAGATGTAGTATATGTACTATATGCATATTACATCCCACTCACAGTTTGTGACTGGGCAGCAAAGCAATAATAAAAAGTAAAAGAAGATCAAGATCCAAGAAAGTAAAACAAGAATAAGTACCCTAAAAAGCCAAAATAATGAGAAGATACAACTTATAAGCAACATAAAATCGTAAAATCAGTTTCTCTACTCTGCACTTTGATAACTCTTTTTAGGCAACTTGTCTTAGAAGGGCAGAAGAAAATAATGGTATGCAATATAGAGCAGGTGACAGCATATCTCTGATCTTAGACCTGCTAAATAGAGTTGATTAATATGATTGGGAGAATACCAGAAAATCCAAAAGTTAGACCAGAATGGAAAATTGAAAAAAAAAATCCCAAAAGAAGGCAGTGACAAATGACTTTTGTGCCTTTGTGAAGAAAGGTACACTAATGGGTTGATAAGGTCACCAGGAGTTAAGCTTGACCCAAGGGGGACTTTATGTTAGGTCCATAACAAAGGTAATTTGTAAGTGGCAGTTATGACAACACAACATTTAGAATGTCTTATTAGTATTCTACTAATATGCCTAGGTGGGAAATGGTAACATATATTTTATTATAGCATTCTTAAAAGCAATGTTAGGGTTAACAAAACAAAGGCATCTCAGTTTGCAATATGCCCAAGGTAATTCCCTTTCTAAAATACATTGATAGTAACATCAGAACTTACTTGTTGCCATAATCAATTTTGGAAGTGACCTTTTGTTTCAGTTCTTTCAGTTCATCTTTGGGCAATGTCCCTGAGAGGAGTTGTGATCTCCACTCCATTAACTCACACATCATTGCTTGTACCTGCCGGAAGTGTTCCTTCTTGTTTGCCTGAAAGAGAAAACAATTCAAACTTCAGCTTGTTTAAGATTTCAATTGCTGTTTGTCACTGTGGTTAAGCAACCCCTGCATGACAGCAGAATAAGTATATTTTCTCTAAGTGGAAGTGATCCTGTTTTTCCCAATCTACAAAAACCCTGGAGATCAAAATATAATAGATATAAAAACATAAACTTCCATTTATGTTGACAATGCTTAGTGCTTTATTGAAACTGAAGGTAGGATGGACCAATGCAAAACAGAGGTAAGACCATAAGCATGATCACACAATAGAAAAAGCTGGCATAAACCAAAACTCAGCACTCCAACAGAAGGATTATTGTGTTTCTTAACATGACATAGGAACCAGGCAATTTTAAAATAACCTTCCTTTCATAGTAATGACATTTTTTTTCCTGATTAAAAATTGTTTGCATGCCTCCTGCTCTACTACAGAGAAAATGAAGCAACTGCTCTAAGTTGTGACAGCTTTCCAATAATTCCTTCTGATCCACTAGGCTCTTCTGCTCCCTTGGAGGTTTACTAAAAAGCTAGTCCCATGCTTTTTAAATTAATCTACTACCTCTGGAACTTTTTGTTGAAGTATAATCAATTATCAATCCGGTTGCTTGTGATGAGGAAACAGAAGGGATTGCCAAACTGTCCTGGACCCTTTCAGGATGAGTTCAAAAGATGTATTCTAAGTTTTTGCTTTGTAGCTTAATTGTTGTTTACTTTGACCTATTCTCATTTTTCTCATCCATATATTGAACATGGGAGCTAAATAGCAAATACACTAGAAGTTTGCTTCCTTTTTAAAATGACCCCTTCTTTATTCAAAATAAACTTTATACTGAGGGGCCTTTGGTGCTCTCTGAGCTTGCTTGTTTTCTTGCAGATGTTTCATTACCCTAACTAGGTAACTAGTCTGGACTAATCTGAACTAGCACTGATGATGTTACCTAGTTAGGATAATGAAATGTCTGCAAGAAAACAAGCAAGCTCAGAGAGCACCAAGGACCACTCATTTCAACCCTGAGCTAAAAAATTCTCCTTCATTGAAACTTTATACTTATGTGATCTTTGGGTGCACAAAATTCATTTTCTTTCAATCGGACAGGTTACGCAGTGCATTAAAAAAAAAGAAGCCGATCTGCTGCTTAGAAAAAGTATAAGAATAGTTTTTCTGCATAAGCAAAAGCAGTAGGTTCTAAATCAAGAGAGCTTTCACTTTCTCCTAGCAGTGCATTTGTGCATGGTGCATTAAAGATCATTCAAAGGTTGAAATCACATAACACTCAAAAGTGGAATTGCACAACAGCCTCTTAAATAATTGAAGCTAAATCTTGCAATGAAGGGATTTCTTCTTTACCAGCACTTTCAGAGCAGTTATATATTCATAAAATTAAATGCAAAATACATTGGATTGGTGGATAACTAAACCTACTGACGTGGCACTTAATACAGCTAAAGCTTCTTCCTGGGCAGTCATAAAATTTCCCTGCAAGAAAGGAAGAATAACTCACCACATACAGTTGTTTCCAAATGTTACCCCATTCCCATAATGTGCTGGTAACCTCTTGTACCAATGGAATCTCAGCAGGTATTACATTTTCCGCATTCCTGAACCAAAGCATAAATACTGTATTATTATACAATTTAACATTATACACGTGATCAGCAACCCCAAGTGGAGAGCCAGAAGTGGAACAGTCAGCTATGGATGCTGGGTCCGTAGTTAAACATCTCACAGACAGATATTTGAGACAGACAATCCTGAATTGACCCTCAGATAGGCTCCTCTAGTCACTAAGCCATTCTATACTAGATGTCCCATGCATCTCATGAACATTTGCTTATACTGTAAATGCAGTGCTGAGAAGTAATGGGAGGAGATGAAAGAATGAAATCAGAAAAGACGTAGAAGAGATAAGCCTTGCTTAAATGAAAACATTGCAATTCTGGACCACTGTTTATCTAACCACAAGATTTTCAAATACCTTCTCATGTTTTTTGGACTTCCAGACATGGTGAGGTTGGACCATGTCTGCCAAACATGGTCAGGATAGATAAATGACTGTATGCTAATTACTGTTCTGCAAACATAGGCTCCATTCACACAATAAGCTAAACTATAAGGCAAGGTTTAAACACAACAAAGGGTAAGACAATATTAATCAAATCCCTTTACATCTTAGCAAGTCATATGAACCAAGCCATCATGTTAGGCAAAAATGTGGTTTGTTATTGAGAGAACTTAGCTACACGGTATGTGGCTTGCTAACCATGGATAAATCTATTTCATGATAAAAATCTGCTTCAGTGAGGGTCATTTTTAATTGTATGAGGGGTTTTTTTAACCACAAATAAGATATGACATTTTATCTACATCTAAAAGTGGAATTCACATAAAAATTATGCATTTGGATCAGATGGGAAATTCAATAATACATCACCACTCCAGCTACTCTCCAGATGCTTTTCTGCATTTTACAAAGACAATAGCCTCTGAACATTCAGTATTAAAAAATAGGAAGACTCTCAATTTTTTTCAGCTTTACTACTATGCTTCACAACAATTAAAAGATATCATGTATTCATATACCAGTCCAGCAGCTTTAAAAGAAAGTATAACTTTATCACTATTTTTATCAAATTCCTTAAAGTATTACTGTCCATGATTGTTGGCATTTGATCCCAAATTGTATATTGAATTGATCTTAACCACAAGAAGGACCATGGAACAAGAAGGGACATTTGGTTTCATTTGGTTACAACATGTTCTTCTTTATTGAGATGTGTTTCTAATATACCACATTTTTACCAAAACAAGTTAAGGTATCTAACAAATGTATGTTATATATAATACCTTTTCTTCTCAGCAGCAATTTCTTTGATGTGGATAAAAGATTTTGGAAATATTCCCTGTTGGAATTGAAGGGAAAAACACAGCTGTTATATTTCCCAAAATATATCTTCCTTGAACAGTTGAAAAGTCGACACTATGAAAGTAGAGGTTTAGGAGCCAACTCTGGTGAAGCTATGATACTTTAGTAATTGAACTACAAGACTGAGTTAAATTATTATTATAATGTTCCATACTTTGCCAGGTATACAAAAAAGCACTACCCACTGAATACTGGCCATACCACTTATCTTCTTTTGCTACTGATTTTTGACCATGCCTGGCCAAATGATACAGCAGTCCCTCTCTAGCAACACGTGCTGAATGTCCCAAATGCATTCCCTGACTTTTCCTTTTGAAAAGATCAAGAAATATAACAAGAGATATTTTATCATTTACCAGTGATGGTAAATAATGCTGGATAATGAATCTCTTTTACTAAGTCAAAGAACCTGTTATAGTATGATGGAGATGGACTTGGATCTGAAGTAATTCCACTCTTTTCAGCATTTATTGATATCTAACATCCAAAATTGATCTTACAAAGACTGTTGATGTTATGATGAGTAATTTAGCTGAAGTAAAGTTCTTTGTCTTTCTTTATTCTTTCTTAGTCATTTGAGAGCAGTGTATTTCAGTATAGCATATAATACTTCCAGTTGATGTATTTCCTGTGATCAGGAGTCAATCTAAAAATCTAAAAACCTGAACTTCATTCAGATCCTGACTTAATATCTTTACAGGTAAAAGCATAAAGCATTCCTAAATTAATGTTAATCTTGGATAAAATAATTAAACATTGTTAATTTTGAGAAACTTAAGCTCCATGAAAGAAAGCTAAAAAATAAGTCAATTAAATAAATAGCTTATTTAAATATTGCCCAGTCAAAACACACGCATACTACAAGCCTGTACATGTCTACATGGGACTGAATCAGTGGGGTTTGTTTTAGAGTATAAATACATAAAATTGTTTTGTACAGTAGAGGATTCTCTCCTTTACATTCTCTCCTCTGTACAAAAGGAGAAAAAAGCAAGTTATAACACTTCAGTAATAACAATTATGATGATAATAGGATAAACTCACCTCAGTTTCTTTATGTCTGACCAAGTATCCCCTATACCAATCTATGATTTAAAAAAGAGAACCATATCATTGTATTAGATTTTGTCCTCTCACACAGCTTCTGCTACTTAACAGTTACCCTACAAGCACTACCCTGGGACTAAGTCTCACTGAAGACAGCACATTCCCACAATATAGTTGAGGAAAAAAGCTGGCCTATCTATTAAAATATGGTTTTATGGTTGTACATTCATTCATTCATTCATTCATTCATTCATTCATTCATTCAACCACTCATCTCACCAATGCAGTTCGGGTTGTCTAACAGGAATTGGAATACAATATAAATACATGTATATTTTAACAAACAAATAATACCCTTCCCAACTGATTAATTGATCAACGCAAAGTGGCTTCCAAAGACAACCATATACCAATAGCATAAGCTTGATTCTTCCAGTGACCCCGATATGTATTTAAAACCAGCAGAGTCAGACCCAGTTGAACCATAAGCAGTACAGTACGGCTTTCCAGGGGGCAGGTGCAGCTACAGAATAGAACCATTTCCTAGGTTCCATTCAATGACAATCCCTAATAGATGAACTGAAGGATGCTCCTTTGATCCAACCTAGAAACAATGGAAGCAAAACTGTCCCTCAAGCACTCTGGCTCCATGCTTTGTACAGCTGTCTTAGTAATAAATAGCACCTTGAATTGCACCAAGAAGCAAATTGGAAGGCAGTGTAGCTTGCAGAGCAAAGGGGAAAAGTGAAATGTACCCATGATTGTCTGTGGTACGACATTGTCAACCAAATGAATGGTTTAATTTGTACATTTCCTCTAACATTGCTTTCCTAGAAAGGTGGCAGGAAAATGGGAAAGATTTAAATGATCTATAGCTACATCCAAAAATAGACCTGATTTGTATGACTTCCCTAAATTTAAACGAGTACCTTGTAATTCTCCACAATTGAATGTCACATCTCTGGGTTGTTGAAAACCAGAAATAAATGTTTGATTTTACCTCTGGCTTTCAAAAGAATTCAAGAACCAGCACAGATTCATGTATCTGAAAGCCATGTTTCCCAATTATCCTTGAACTGGACTGTTGAATTTATCCATATAGGCAAATGTGTCATTAGGAGTCAAACTACTATTCTGCATTAGCATTGTAGTCTCCATATGCTAATAATAATCATGCTAATTTTGTTTGCTTTTTGCTTTTTCAAAGCAAGGAAAAATCCTTTTTATGTTTTCCAAGTACACAGACACTAAACTGTCCTTGTTCCAAACCTATGGAGAGTTATAATCCAAAAATACTGGAAACCATTTCATGGAGCTCCCAGAAATTCCTATACTCCTGAGCCTGATAACTAGAAGTTCTGGGAGTTGCAAACAAGTACTTCTTGAGAGTGTCCAGTTGCAGAATGCTGAAATGTGATTTCTTGACACATAAAATGATCAGAAGAATCTCAAAGCTGAATTAAATAAAAATCTATGCAAGCATGCATCTTTTTCCTTTCCCCAACCCCACATGGACAGCCAGGTGCCTAGCAGAAGTACTGATGGGAAGTTTGAAGACAGTAACTCATTCTCTCTCTCTCCTCCACTAGTAATGAGAGGCTTGTATTGCTGATTTTAGATGTCCTGATCCATCAATAACTTTCTCACTAGTTACTGATAGCCCTGGCTTCTATGACTTTTACCATCCAAAGAGATTTAAGTTTGTGGCGGTGGCTGCATTTCATGAATGTCAATTCCATTGCTCACCTATCTGCTGCAAGCATCTTTATTTATAGCTGACTTGAATTCCCACTGTTCAGTTTCACAGGAAGAAGGGAAAGAAAACTTTCTAATCATTTTCAAACTAGGAAATTTTAGAGCGTCTGCTTTAGTTTCTTTAGGTCCCTATCCCAAAAATAATGCACAGGCTGTGCACTGATAATAGGTTTCATGTATAATGCAGATCCAAACTCATCTGAGATGAGGGATTAAGGTAAAAATGTTATTTTTCTTCTAGTTTATTTTTATTTTATTTTATTTTTGCTTTTTCTCTGATTAAAATAAAAGCTCCCATGTCTAGTTGAATCTGCCATTCAAGAGGTACCATAGCATCCTTTTCACGTGCTTGTTTATCTCCTAGGCCTTTTAGATTGGACTATAATTTAGCAGAAGGAGCGAACTTTGCTTTGACTATTGTTTCTTGGAGAGAAAAGCTAAGAAGACACCATGGACAGCAGCCAGGACAAAGGAAACCAGCTGAAGGTCTATTATGCAGCCATGTCATAGCACAGTTTCATCTCTGTTGTCAGAAAGCATTGATACAGTTCCCTCAGTTACCAGTTTAGTGACCTCTGTTCATATGCCTACATGGAAGTAAGCCAAGGAAAGGCACTTACTTAGTTCTCAAAGTCACTAAGCTACAGCCCCTCCCCCCAGTTGCTCAATGGCTGTATTGTTACAATGAGGAGCATTAATAATTGATATCTGAAATTGTTCAAGTATTAATGACTAACATTATAAGTTAAGAAGTTGTAGTGTAGTTGAGGATATAGTAATGTTGGACTGTCATTTTGCACTTATTAAGGTATCTAATCCTTTATAAGAACAACTTTCTAATGATCTAAATCAATGTTGTAGTTCAAGAGAGACCTCTTCTGGTAAAAAATTAGATAAGCCACTTTATTAGATAGATAGGTAGATAGATAGATAGATAGATAGATAGATAGATAGATAGATAGATAGATAGATAGATAGATAGATAGATAGATAGATAGATAGATAGATAGATAGATAAGTAGGTATGTAGGTAGGTAGGTAGGTAGGTAGGTAGGTAGGGAGGAAGGAAGGAAGGAAGGTAGGTAGGTAGGTAGGTAGGTAGGTAGGTAGGTAGGTAGATAGATAGATAGATAGATAGATAATAGATCTATCTAGATCTTTATATCTAGATCTCTCTCGATCTCTCTCTGTCTCTATCTATCTATCTATCTATCTATCTATCTATCTATCCATCATCTATATCTATCCTGTGCTATTTTGATAATTTTCAGTAGCAACACTGTTCCAGCACTTTTCTTTTGAATTCTAATTCTGTATTTGTAATTATCACAATGTAACATTACACTTACGTAATATGAAAGTTCAGATTTGTAATCACAGTATAACATTACACTTACGTACTATGAAAGTTCGGATTTGTAATCACAGTCTAACATTACACTTATGTAATATGGAAGTTCAGATTGCTTGCGGTGGTTTTCACAAGGTAAAGGTAAGTTGGATGCTTTGTGTGGGCTGGCAGGCTGCCAGGTGAGTTGTGAGTCTTCCCAGACCCCGGCAGCTTTGCTTATACTGGTGGGCAGTGACTCTCTCTGAGTTGCAGAGTTTTGCTTATAACAGTGAGCTGGATGGGTGGCTGAGATGGGGGGAAGTAGTTGGGTAGGGAGAGTTGCAGCAGCACAGCAGTTGTGAGTGTGTGCAGTCTACCAAGCTCCCACATTTTTATCAGATGACCATAGGATCGCTACAATGGCCGTAACTTCAGGAACAAGTTGTAAAACTCTTTGTTCAACACTGTCATAATTTCTAATAGTTGCTAAATGATTGGTCATAAGTCAAAGATTACCTGTAAGCCATATTCTCCACCACATTGGGATATTAGCTGGACTTTACCTGAATAGTGTCCACCCTACTCAAAATCCATTGAGAGTGACATATACATTTGCAAGTCCAAACAATCTCTATTAAATAGCCCTTATATATGAAATAGCTTTACTTGTACTCCATAGTCAACTAGTCACACCACAGTTTTAGCTTAAAAAATAGTGAGACCATGTTAATTCATACCTCACATGTGCAGTACTTAGCAACAAAGAAAGCCATGGTTTGCAGATAAAAAGTCATAAGTCATTTTATACACAACTCCAAGCTCAAGCTGATGAAGCAAAGGTGTCACAATATGAAAAGTACTGTATATTTTTCATGTTTACCTTCATGGTCTTCCGATATATGAACCACATCCCCAATCTGTAGTGATATCTGGGGCACTTGGATAGCTTTGAAATTGTATATTACTGTGAAAATAAAGAATACAATGTCATTAAGCAACTTTATACTTTAAATGGATTATTTCCAGATGCAGCATTCGGTTTAATATTATGAGAAAGAGCTTGAATAAGCCATAGGCTCACCACCCCTCTTCTTTGAATTAATTGTAAGAAAGAGTTTGCAAGATCTCACTTATCTTCCCAAACCTTCAGTTCAGGGGTGTCAAACTTGCAACGTCATGTGACGTGTCGCGATGTATCATGACTTTTTGCCATTGCAGGCAATGGGGTGGGTGCGGTTTCACTATGATGCATCCGGCCCGTGGGCCGGCAGTTTGACACCCCTGCTTTAGTTGTATTTATCCAACTGAGAATTGTGATTAGTGTTAGCTAATCACTTTGGGCAGGAGTAAACAAACTGCATCTGACATAGGCTGCTTAGAATTCTTCAAGATCATGCCTTCAAAGTGAGCAGCTGTTCAATAACTTTTAACAAGTCTTTCTCCCTAATGCTTGAAGAGGTCAATGAGTACACTTCCAACCATCTCTCAAAAACAGCAAAAAGTTTGCCACTGCATCCTCTGGAGATGTTATTATCACACTAGCCACATTCTCTGCAGCTCTGCAAGATAAATCATCATTGCTGCTGCCGCCACCACCATCTTCACCCTCTGAAAAAAGAAGAAAAACCTCTCGCACCTGGATGAGAGAAATAAATATGCCTTGAATTAAAGATAGATAAAGATAAAGATAAAGATAAAGATAAAGATAAAGATAAAGATAAAGATAAAGATAAAGATAAAGATAAGATAAGATAAGATAAGATAAGATAAGATAGATAAGATAAGATAAGATAAGATAAGATAAGATAACCTTTATTGTTGTTTTTATACTGTGGGCACAATGGCACACATCAAAAATGAAATTTAGTTGCCCACTCTCAAAGTGAAACACACACATGACACACACCTAAACATACTGTGAACAACATATGTATAGACCCACATCCCTACATATACGTAGCAAATAAATATTAAATATTGTCCATCTTGAATATATAACAGAAGGAGGAAACTTGAGAGTTCACAAGGTTAATGCTGTATGGAATGAAATTATGGTGAATTATGGGATGATTTTAGATTTGGGCACAACAGTAATTATTCTCAGTTTCCCGTGGAAGGCAGAAAACCCCCCTTTGCTGTCCTTAGTTTAATGCCACAGAGCACAGAGAAAAGAAGTTCTCTGACACTGGTATGATACTCCAGTGTATGGAATGAAACAGACCAATGGGAGATAAAATGATTTGAAAGTCACTTTGATTTTCAGTCAAATTATGTCAACTCCATATCAAAAGGAACCAAAGCTGCATGAGAAAGTTTGATTCACAAGTCAAGATTATTTGGTTGTATTGCAGTTTGGAAAGCTAACCCCAAACATAAGAAATACATGTGCTAAGTGGTAAATACAAATAAAGAGTATCTGTACTCAGAACGATATAATTAGAGAGCTGTATATGTTTAGGCACTGTTGTGCTATTTAGGGAATAAAATCTGCACTTAGATGATGAAAAATGTATTGTGAGAATTCAGAGAACCAACTTTCATTAGCAAAACTGTTTTCAGCTAGTACAAAACAATTTAGGTGATGTACTATGTTTGGGCCATAACTGTACCACTTGTGAAACAATTCCTCCACAAGTTCTATTAAACCAACCAAGAGCAAAAACAAAATTAGATTCATCACCAAGTGTAAATTGGGCTTTCAGTCTGAAATAAATGTATTTGTGCTGCGTTCTCCAAAAGAATCCAGACACTTGAATCCTAAGCACATATTAAATGGTTATTCCAAATTCTCCTCCTTGCCACCTATTTCATTCAAAATTTGTTTTGGCATTCTTTCCAGCACGCTAGCCAATATGCATAGAAAGTGATTTCAAGAGATAGCCAAGACAATTCAGTAACAATAATTACCTTGTAACAACAATTAAGGCCATTGTGTTAGTACATTTTGTTCTCAGATTTGACTCTCTTTGTTGATCAGCTTCCCAAACAAAACGTATTTACAGTTATATTGCATCAAGCTGTTTCTTACAGCATGATGTGAATATTCTTCACTGTTTTTACATTAAAATACTAAATGTTCAATGGTAAAGATGTTTTTAAAGGAGACTTTTATTTCACAATTGCCTTATTCACAATATTACATATCTGGGTCCAGATAACATCATTTCCCATTTTTTGAAATCTTCCTATATCTTTCTTTTTTAATTTCTTTTTTTAAAAATTAATTGTTAGAGAGGAAAAGACAGCCTGCTTGCTACTAATTAGCAGCATTAATCGAATTGAATGACTAAATTAAAAGCCTTTCCTATGCTAGCACCCAATTATAAGGTCAATGACACCCTAAAAGTCTTGAAGACAGTTTGGGACTGTTTTCATTATATTTACATTACATATTATATTATTTAAGGAAGGAGGTGATATATTTATTTTAAATGAAATTTCAAGAGACACAAAGATGACACTGTCAACACCCAGATGGAAACAAAAATCTTAAAAGAACTTGTGGGACAAATTAGGATGAAAAATCATACCACTGAAAATCAGCAACACAGTGGTTTATAGTTTCGATCAGAGTGACTGCACAGGGCCCATATCTAGGGTATAGTTTCTATTTCTCTTTTACTAGGACTATCAAACCTGAACTGCAAACATCCAGACAACCATAAATCAGCCAGCCAAGAATTAATTCTCTGCATGTCTTTGGTGCCATCTCGACATCATATTCAGTGGCGGGATTCAGCCAGTTCACACCTATTTGGCAGAACTGGTAGCTAATTTTTTGTTGCCCAGACCCAGAATGGACTTCTGGAAGCGGCATCCACACAGAGAACCAGTTGTTCACATATTTGAATCCCACCACTGATTATATTGATATTTGCAGTTCTGATTCAATAAGCCTCCTGCTGTTTCAATCTTTCTCCAGAGTTCTTTCTTCCATATAGAATTAGAATTAATTCAAAGGACCCATTCTTTTCATTTCTCTCAATTTTTAGAAACTATTCCAAACTACTCAAAGGTGCTTTTTCATGAGGCAAATGGACTTCCTTGTTTTTCTTTGCAGATGTTTCACTTCTCATCCAAGAAGCTTCTTCAGCTATTCCAAACTACTGTTTCAAGATGAAGCTGGCTCACCAAATGGATCTTGGAATTCCATGCCCAAACTCTTTGTGTCATTTGCTTTTTCAAAGTGTGGTTTCAAAGGGTCCTAGATAGATGGAAACGGACCTTACCATTGCTTTCACCTTGAACCTTTCTGCCTCAATGGATGGGATTTGCCCTAGCTGGGAAAATATGATGATTATATATAAATCACTTTTTTTAAACTGGAATCAAATAATGTAAGGACAGAAGTTCAGTTATGAAACATTGCAAGCATATCTTGTTAAATGTATTTATTGCAATTCTATCTTGAATTCTCCCAGTAATGCAAAGAGGGATTTATCCTCACAACAACTCTATGAAGTAGATCAGGCTGAGACATAGTGACCAAAGTCTAGTAAACATCATAGCTGAGACTCTCAATTCTAGTCTGACTCTGTAGATCACATATAGATACTGACATTCCTTTTCATCCCTAATGTTTTCTTTATTTATCTTTTGTTCAATAAGAATTCCATTGTAATATGATTGTAATATGGAAGGGGTATCCTATTTTTTTTAATATACTGGGTACAATAAAGTAAATACCACTTTGATTTAATCACATCAGTACCAAACATTAGTTTCTTAATTACTGGGTTAATTTAAACTCTAGTCCATTCCTTTGTCTGTGGCATGTTAAATCATTTCAAACCTAGGGCCTTTCAAACTGTTGTAGTCTTAATACTTAAAAATCAAGGACTGGAAGGATGGAATCAAGTAAGAGACTTTGTTCTTTCCTTGTAGGAAAAATATGAAGTGTCACATATCAGCTCCAAAACCAAGAAAGGCACATTGTGATTCTTCCAAGCGGATTTTTTTTATTTCCACACCTATAGACAGAATCTTGCCAAACTAAAACAGACGACCACCCACATAAAGCATATACTCTGGGAACTATTAGGTAAAGGCTGTCTTCACCCTCTTTCTCTTAGACAAAATATCTGAACTGAGTTGTTTTTTATTCCTCTGGATTCACTCCCTCCTGGAAATCCCACCCATTACATTCCATCACATGCAGAAGGGAAGCCCCTTGGTAATGCTTTAATAATTAAATGTGCCTTTAAAAGGGCAGCCATAAATCCTTCATTTGTCAACTCACTTAAAAATAAATAAATAAAGAGTACATACTTAAATGAACGGATCACATTACAACTTCAGAAAATATATCACAGACTGATTAACATAGTTGGAAGGCACCAGAGGAAGAACGCTGCTACCTAGATAACTGCAATAGTATTAATTTATTACAAATGTAGAATTCAATCTGCCAACCTTTGTCAAAATTTGCCTCATTCTTAACCTTGCACTCATTTTATTTCATGCTTTTTATTTCCATTTTTGTTCTTAAAGGAAACAATTTCATAAAGCAGGTGTGAGGAAGTAAATGTACATTTACTCTCCTAGAATCACTGGATTGGTTCTGCTTGTGCCAGGAAGAGAACAGTATAGAACTTAATAATATTCAGAATTTAGCAATTTTGCCTTAATAGAATAACGTACTTTGCTGATGGTACCTTAGGAAAGGGCTTTAGCATGATGACATCCAAACAACTGACAAAGGAAGTGGTTTTGCCGCCTTAATGTTTTTTGAACAAGTGGAAACTTACAGCTAAGTTCTGCCACGTCATTTGATACTATGAATCTGATTCTTAAAAATTGATAACGGACAGGGAGTAAAGAGAGTCAAGCTCTTTGAACACTGTGAATTCCTATATATGAATTCAGGAGGCCAAATGAAAAAATAATAATTTTAAAAATCTGTATCAGTGAATGGCTTCTTTGTGCTTATATAATTACAAACTCTTTCCCTTTTTTTTTAAACAA